GGGAATTTTTTGCAAAAGTATCCGTGACCATCATGATGGATACATCTCTCCTCAGGTGGGGGAAGCTCACTTAGGTCTGCTCACGACTCAAGGTCAGTGGTCATGTCAGGAATTCAGCCTGCACATAAATGTTCTAGATCTCAGAGCGGTATTCTATGCATTCCAACACTTCCTACATTGAATACAAAGGTGTACAGTTCAGATTTTTACAGAGAACCAGGCAACAACATTTTACATCAACGGATGGGAGGGCGGTGCCAGATCCTACCTTTTATGCAAGGAAGCAGTCCGCCTCTGGACATGGTGCATAGCACACGGCATATACCTACAAGCCTCATATCTCCCAGGCAAAGACAATCTCACTGCTGACAGCCTCAGCAGAAACAGCAAACCCAGCCACAAATGGGAAATAGACCCATCGATCGTACATCAGCTGTTTACTCAATGGGGGTTCCCCGAGGTGGACCTGTTGGCAACCAATGCCAACAAGAAGTGTCCACGGTACTGTTCATGTGTGGGCATTGGCAAGCATTCCCTGGGGCACGCGTTTGCAGTACGGTGGAACACAATGCTTTTATATGCTTATCCTCCCATCCCCTTCATCCACTTATTGTCCCGGACTGGCCAAGACAGACTTGGTATACTTACCTGACTCAAATGTCCACGGAACGACCATGGCATCTCCCACTCCTTCCTCATCTCCTGACCCAGGAGCAGGGGAGCCTGCGCCATCCTAGCCTTCAGGCACTCCACCTCCATGCTTGGCTCCTCAGTGGCTCACCTCACTAGAAACAACATGTACAACAGATATTACTCAACAGTTACAGAACATCAAGAAAATCTTACCTTTATAAATGGCACAGGTTCTTATGATGGACAGAACAAAGGAAGTTGGAGCCCAACCATAGCTTCGCTGAATGTTATTTTGCAATATTTACTGGAACTGGAAGATTCAGGCCTGTCACTCAGCTCTCTTAAATTCCATCTTGCAGCCGTAACAGCTCTTCTCCAACCTATCAATAGTAAATCGGTTTTTGCTCATCCAATGACTAAATGGTTCTTGAGGGGTATACAAAATACTTGCTGCTCACCTCACAGGCCCCTTACTCCTGCTTGGGACCTGAACCTGGTGTTACAGGCTCTCATGATGAAACCATTCGAGCCCTTGGCAACGTGCTCCATGCTCCACCTTTCCGTGAAGGTCGCCCTGCTGTCAGTGCTGGCATCTGCTAGGAGAGTTAGTGAGATCAGGGCTCTCATGGCAGACCCCCCAGTCACCATATTCCACAAAGATAAAGTCATTCTCCGTCCTCACCCAAAGTTCCTCCCAAAAGTTTCCACACATTTTCACTGTGACGAGCCCATAAACGTAACTGTATTATTCCCAAAATCTTATGCCAATGTGAGGGAAGCCATGCTACACACTCTCGACACCTGTCGGGTGATTGCTTTTTACCTGGACAGAACTAAACAACTTCGCAAAACAAATAGACTATTTGTGTCCACCACAGAGAGGTCTCTGGGCATGCTGATCTCCACCCAGAGGATATCTAGGTGGATAGTAGAATGCATCAGTTTAGCTTACACTAATAATGGACAGCCACCTCCCTTCCAGCTCAGAGCCCGCTCAACTAGAGCCACCTTGACATCCATGGCCTATATGCATAGTATCCCTTTCATGGACATTTGCAGAGCGGTCACGTGGTCCTCCACTCAAGCATTCGCAAGGCACTTACGCCCTGGACAGTCACCCCTCTAGGGGTACTCACTTTGGACACGCTGTCCTTAATACAGTGCACAATACTGCCTAACTGAAGCACCCGCCTCCTTCATGGGTACTGCTCTGTAGTCACCTAAGGTGGAGCACCCATAGGCACAACCATCTCAAAGAACCTCCGTTACTGCACAAGGTGAGTAACCCTCTCTTTTCAGCACCCTCACACTGGAGAACTGGTATATGAGGTTCAACAAGGACAAATGCAGAGTCCTGCACTTGGGATGGAAGAATCCCAAGCAGTGTTACAGGCTGGGGACTGACTGGCTAAGTAGCAGTTCAGCAGAAAAGCACCTGGGGATTACAGTGGATGAGAAGCTGGATATGAGTCAACAGTGTGCGCTTGTAGCCAAGAAGGCTAATGGCATATTAGGGTGCATTAGGAGGAGCATTGCCGGCAGATCTAGAGAAGTGATTATTCCCCTTTATTCAGCATTGGTGAGACCGCATCTGGAGTATTGTGTCCAGTTCTGGGCCCCCCACTATAGAAAGGATGTGGACGCGTTGGAGAGGGTCCAGCGGAGGGCGACCAAAATGATTAGGGGGGCTGGAGCACATGACCTATGAGGAGCGACTGAGGGATTTGGGCTTACTTAGTCCACAGAAGAGAAGAGTGAGGGGGAGATTTGATAGAAGCCTTCAACTTCCTGAAGGGAGGTTCCAGAGAGGATGGAGAGAGGCTGTTCTCAGTAGTGACAGGTGGCAGAACAAGGAGCAATGGTCTCAAGTTACAGTGGGAGAGGTCTAGGTTGAATATTAGGAAAAACTATTTCCCTAGGAGGGTGGTGAAGCACTGGAATGGGTTCCCTAGGGAGGGGGTGGAATCTCCATCCCTAGAGCTTTTTAAGTCCTGGCTTGACAAAGCCCTGGCTGGGATGATTGAGTTGGGGTTGGTCTTGCTTTGGACAGGGGGCTGGGCTTGATGACCTCCTGAGGTCTCTTCCAGCCCTGGGATTCTATGATTGTATGATTAAGCTAATGGATAATTCCAAGCACTGCAGGGCTCTTTTATGCAGAGACTGTAAAGATGTGAACACTGGTATCAAGCAATCATTGAAATGGAAGAAACTGGGATTGAGTCAAAGAGGGGAGGTATAATTTAAGACCGTTTAGATATTCTGGGAATAGGGGTGAGTAAATCTGGATAGTATTTCTTGGTGTCTGTAATATGTAATAGTTGTATGCAACAGCATTTTTGTTTCAAGTAGTATGTTACAAACATCAGTTAATTTTTTCACTTAGAACAGTGATGTTGCTCTCTTAAAGCAATACTGTTTATGGTTAAAGGCCTAGTCCTAGTTAATGTTCTTTGATTTTTCTTAAATCAAAGGCAATGACAGTTGTTTCCTGGTGCCTATCTTTTAGTTTTTCAGTATTAGCTGGCACTTAGCTGAAATAAGTAATTGTATCGTAACTAAAACATATTTTGTATACTCTTCTGTTTTTGAATAGTGTACAAGTCTTAACACTAAGGATGTTAAGTAGCATGTAAATAACTAATCATGTACTCAATACAATTTGTATCGAGTACATGATTAGTCAATAAGGGGACGCTGTGGCTCTGCAGTTTAAATATAGTAGGAGCTGGGGTAGGTCCGGGACCTGGCGCGAGCCGTGACTGGAGCAGTCCCAGATTGCACTGGGTCTCGCGCTGTGCCTCTGCCTTTGAAATGTAAGAGCCGAGCGGCTCTTGCTACATTTAAACGGCAGTGCCACTGCCCCTCTGCCTCCACGACCACTGCCTCTAATAGAGAGGCAGTGAAAGGGGGGGGGGGGGGTGGAAATGCGAGTAGTCGACTCGACTACTCTTTTATATTCCTACTTAACACATCCTTGTTTTGAATGTATTCTCAATTAATATAGTAACTGACAGTTTTGGATTATGCTAGTATACTTCTTATTCATTTACATGTGGCTATTCCTCAGACACCTGTGTGTATTGTTTTTCCTTTAACCAAATGTAAATCTTCATTGTAGATGCTTTTACTGATTCAGCCATTAGTGCTAAAGTAAATGGTGAACACAAAGAGAAGGACCTTGAACCATGGGATGGAGGCGAGACCACCATTGCTGAGGAGCTTGAAGCTTTAGAGACCGATGTTGTAAGTAAACTTGTTTTATCAGACATTGAAATCTTTTTAGAAAACAAATTGTTTTGCCCCTGTCCATGCTGTCCTTTAATTTTAGCCTAGAATGGAATTTTAGTTGAAGCTAAACTGTTGAAATAGCATGCCTGTATTCTGTGAACATGTATTGTCATGAAAATTCATCCTTTGCCGATGGATATCTCAGTTTTTCTTACAGTTTTAAAAGGAATAATCGAATCTTGGTCATCACTGTCATAGTTTGTAAATTGAAGCAACAAACCAGTGTCTCTGAGGGCCCTGAATTACTTGGAGTCAGGTCTCAAATTAGCAAGTCAAGTTAATATAACATGTAGAAACTGGGTGTGGTATAGGAACTAGTTTTATGCTATAATGCATCTTTTTACTCAAGGACACAAGGTTTGTAATGAGTAAGAACAAGAAAAAATTAGTATTGTGGATTAGAGGAGACTAACAATATGGTTCAAGAAATCTTTGTTGTTCTTCGACAGATGTCCCCCTGGGTGCTTCATATTAGGTTGGTGCACTGCCGCCGAGCCTTAGATTGGAGATTTCAGAGCAGTGTCCCTGGGGCCGTGCATGCAGCTGTGTGCTCTTAGGTGGCAGGCATCACGCATGTGCGAGCTTCCCCCCCCTGCTCCTCAGTTCCTTCTCTACCATATTCTCTACCATACCCGCATTGGCAATATTGGGACAAATGGCAATCTTATAAAAAAAAAAACACCAGCATGTCCGGAAATGACACAGAGCGCAATATTCTCCTTCTAAACAAATACACAAAGGGGACCCACCCATACAAGAGGAGGGTGCCTCCCTGGACCTAAATGAATCCCCCCAGTGGAGGGGGCTGTCTGTGCCCCTAGCTCCAACTACCTCAGATGACGTTGCACGTTTCCAAGACCTTTTTAAACGCATAGCTGCTGAACTAAACATTTCCTCTCTAGGAGGCCATTGAGAATCAGCATGAACTAACTGACATATTGCACTCGGTAACACCATCTAAAATAGCACTGCTGATTAATCCAGCAGTAATGGAACTGGCTAAGACTGTGTGGCAAACTCCAGCATCAGTCTCTTCTACCGCTAAGAGAATAGATCAGAAGTATTATGTTCCACCCAAAGGATCTGAATTTCTCTTTACTCACCCAGTATCTAACTCCCTCATGGTGGAGGCTGCACAACAGAAAACCAAGCAGCAACAATTTTGGTCCACCCCATTGGACTGGGTTAGCAAAAGACTTGACTCATTTGGACACAAAATGTACGTCTTCCACTTCACAATTTTGCATTTCTAACTGTGTCTTTATTAAGCAAATATGACTACTGAAATTACATCAAACTTAACAAGTTTATCACCGATATTCCTGAGGCTAAAAGACAACCGTTCAAAGTGTTGGTATCAGAGGGTCACACGATTGCCAGAACAGAATTGCAAGCTGCGTTAGATGCTGCTGACACGGCTGCACGATCCACAGCAACAGCCGTAATCACGGGAAGGGCTTCATGGTTTAACTCCACTCAGTTCCCCAGAGATATCCAATCTACAGTAGAAGATCTTCCTTTTAATGGTCGAAAGTTGTTTGCAGCTAACACCAACAGAATTCTCCATTCCACAAAGGATTCCAGAGTAATGCTTTGGTCCTTAAGAATCCACAACCACACACCTAGAAGAAAATATAGGTATCAGCCTTACCCGAGACCTTGATACCCTCCATATGCGCAACATTACAGCAGACAAGACTACCACCAAAAGAGCAGAGGCAGAATTCAATGTCAACGCCCTTCCTCTACCAACTCTTAACAGTTGCAGCAGTCCAATAAGCAAATCTGAACATCAGGTCTAGGGTCGTGAGAGCCTCTCACCTATTCCAATGCCATTGTCACAAGTGAACTTGTTCCATCATCGACTATTACCCTTCTTTAATAACTGGCAATGTATAACTACTGACAGATGAGTCCTCCAGATAATTGAGAGAAGCTATCTTATTCTTTTCATGTCTCTACCCCCTTTCCACCCCCCTACCCAGTCCCACTTCAGGGACCACTCTCACGAGATTTTACTTCAACAAGAGGTAGAACACCTCTTGCACGTAGGTGTGATTGAACTAGTCCCAGTACAATTTAGGGGCAAAGGGTTTTATTCCCATTACTTCCTGATGAAAAAAGATCAGGAGGTTGGAGACCCATCTTAGACCTCTGGGCACTCAAATTCGTTCAGAAACAAAAATTCAAGATGGTAACACTTACCACTATATTACCAGCATTGGAGCAGGACGATTGGTTCTCGTCCCTCGACTTGCAAGATGCATACTTTCACGTTTCCATCCACAGTTCTCACAGACGTTTTCTTCATTTCATTGTAGATTCCCGACACTACCACTACAAGGTGCTTCCATTTGGACTGTCTACGGCCCCAAGGGTCTTTTCAAAGGTTCTGGCAGTTGTCACAGCATATCTGAGAAAGCAAAGCGTCATTGTATTTCCTTACCTGGACGACTGCCTCCTCAAGGCGAGCTCACACAACAATTCTTGCCATTAACTGTCAATCACAAGACACCTATTCCAACACCTCGGCCTGCAAGTGAATGAAGCCAAATCAACGCTGTCTCCTACACAAAAGATACAGTTTATAGGAGCATGCCTCGACTCAACAAGGGCCACCGCATCTCTCCCTATGGACCGTTTTCAAAAAATTGTGGCCTCGGTAAATACCTTACGATCTAGCCCCCGCACAATGGCACTCGAATGCCTTCGGCTGTTGGGACACATGGCAGCGTGCAGTTTTGTTGTCAGCAACACTCGCCTTCACATGAGATGCTTACAGGGCTGGCTGGGACAGGTTTACAGACCCAATATCCACCCATTATCCAAATCCCTAGTCATAAGAACAAGAATGGCCATACTGGGTCAGACCAAAGGTCCATCTAGCCCAGTATCCTGTCTGCCGACAGTGGCCAATACCAGATGCCCCAGAGGGAGGGATCACAACAGGTAATCTTCATGTGATCCCTCCCCTGTCACCCACTTCCAGAGAAGCAGAGGCTAGGGATACCATTCCTACCCATCCTGGCTAATAGCCATTGATGGACCTAACCTTCATGAATCTATCTAGTTCTTTTTTGAACCCTGTTAAAGTTCTAGCCTTCACCGCATCCTCTGGCAAGGAGTTCCACAGGTTGACTGTGCGCTGTGGTACTCCCAGTGGTAGTAAAGAAATCCCTACAGTGGTGGTTGAGTCCACAGAACCTTTGTTCCAGAGTCCCCTTCCACCCACCAGAACCATGCGTCTCCATGATGACACATGCATCTCGTACAGGATGGGGCGCCCACCTAAGACAGATTCCTCCCGTTCATCGCCAACAGTCATGTCAGACTGTGTGTAGACAATGTTGTAGCAATGTTTCACATAAATTGTCAGGGCAGAGCCCGATCTTGAGCACTTTGCACAGAGGCTATACCACTTTGGAACTGGTGACTGAAATACAACATAAATATTACCGTGGTGCACCTTCCAGGCACCCTGAACACAATGGCAGATGCACTCAGCAGAGCCCTCCTGACCGAACACAAGTGGCAGATGAATCTGCACATATTGGCGGACATTTTCCAACAGTGGGGTCACCCCACCATAGATCTGTTTGTCATACAATCCAACAAGAAATGTCGCCTATTCTGTTCCAGGGCGGGCATCAGCAAGGGATCAATGGGAGGTGCCTTCCTCATCAGCTGGTCATCCCACCTAATGTACACGTTTCCTCCCATATCCCTGTTGAACAGGGTAGTTCACAAGACAAGGAGAGACAAGGCCCACCTGATATTATAGCCCCAACATGGCCACGCCAACCATGGTTCCCCTTTCTAATGGCGATGTCCTGCACGTCACCGATCCACTCTATCTTACAGCGAGGATCTCCTTCTTCTTCCAGGCCCTCACTCCACCCAACTGAACCTCAACTCGTTACACCTAAAGGCATGGCTCCTGGATGGTTCTCTGAGCTAGAATTGACTTGTTCACAATGAGTACAAACTGTCCTTCTACATAGTAGGGCACAGAGCACCTGTAAGACTTACCTCCATTGTGTACACCACCAGGTAGTGCCTTCAACATCCTCCTTATCTGCCATCCTCAATTAACTTTTGCACCTTAAACAAACGGGCCTCACAATAAGTTCCATTAAAGTGCATATTGTTGCTATTACTACCTTCCACTCTAAGATAGACGACTCGTCTACGTTTGTACCATCCACTTACTGAGACATTTTTAAAGGGTCTTCAGGCACTTTATTTGGGCATCAATCCACCACCACGACTGTGGGACCTAAATTTAATATTGAATGCTTTAACTCGACCACCTTTTGAACCAATGGCCACCACCACACTACTACGCTTATCCACTAAAACTGTTTTCCTCATAGCCATTACCTCGGTGAGACGGGTGGGAGAGATTACAGACCTAATGGCTGATTCCCCCATACACCACCTTTTTTAAAGACAAGGTCACTTTACGTACCCACCCCAAATTTCTCCCCAAGGTGCACTTATCCTTCCACCTTAATCAGACAATACACCTTGCCACCTTCTTCCCCAAACCACACGCCAGTTCCTTCAAGACGAAAATGTGCACCCTTGACCTGCATCTCATGGGGGACCTGAATCACCCTGACATCTGTTGGGAGACCAATACAGCAGTACACAGACAATCCAGGAAGTTTTTGGAGAGTTTTGGGGATAACTTATTGTGACGGCGCGTTGGGGGTTCCCCGTCTCCTGCACCTCGAAATGGCACAAACCGCCCCCCCCAGCCAGTGGAATTGAGGGTGGTTTATTGCTCCTCCAGCACAGCGCAGCACAGATGTAATCTGGTTACAGGAACTTGGGCTAAGAGGCCTCAGTGCCCCCCCTTGAGATAGGGGAGTCCCAGCCCCCTCCCCAGCTCCTTATTCCCTGCCTTCCAGATAGGAACTAACTAACCCTCTCCAAG